GCAGGAACCAGTTCACTGCCCACTCCTCAGTTTACCCAACCTTCAAAATCCACTTCCACTTGAGCCCTTTGAGAAATATCAATTATTATGTTGCTTGCAATTCATTTGTTCCTCAGCTCCTCTAATGCCTTCAGGTCTGATCCACCCGACCTAGCTGCCCAGTGCTGGACCATGGGCTGGTTTCAATGTGCCCTTTGTTGATATTCTAACTTAATAGGATGTGTCTTTTCTCTCCAGCCAGGTTGAAAGCTTTTAGAGGAAGAGTCTGGGATGGTCCTACAAATATATCATAAGCTGCCAATCAATAGTCTAGGAATAAATAAATATTAGCGTATCTGCTTTTGGTTTTGTGACTCTAGAGACTATGTTAGCTTCACTCATGAAAAGAGAAAATTCCTGCCAAGTTAGGCAAGTGTGAATTATACATACAAACACATAATCTTACATATTTATCTTACACATAAATGTATGTATATATTCATATGTATGTATATATTTGCATATACATATTGTCTTATAGTTCCCCCTACTCCTGCAAAGGGGGAGATGTAAGAAAAAGGGTACAAAGTTCAAAACAGGTAGGATGAACGCTTTAGATATCTAAGTACAATATGATGACTATAGTTATAATATTGTATACTGGAAATTTGCTTAGAGAATAAATTTTTATCTAAAGGAGAACTATTCAAGAAATGGCTATATTAATCAACTTGACTATAGTAATATTTCACTTTATATATCAAAACATCATGATATACACCATATATATATACACAGCATATATATATATATGCTATACACCATATATATGTGTGTGTATATATACATATATATATAATTTTTTAAAAAAAAATCTTATTATCCAATATAAGATACAGAAAATAAACACAGTGGTGACCTAAAAGTACCCTGACAGAACTACATTTGGAGGCAGCTCTAATTACAGGAGAAGAAAAATGTGCCTTGTGGCAAACCTGACATCCCCACCCAAGCCCCTCACAGCCCCTCCCTGCTTCTGAAAATGTCACTGTATGCTCTAGTCATACTCCTTAACAACACCAGGCAAGATCATTATCGTAGTTTTACAAGCCAATTTCTGAACAGCAGGTTTCTTTTCTGTAGGATGTTCCTGTGCCAATCACAGGATTTCCTATAATGAAGAAATGAGGAAACAGTGTAGAGGTGTGCTAGAGCTTTGTTTTGTTTTTGTTTTTTCATTCTGACTCCAATTACAGGAGGCTCTGGTCAGCAGAGAAACGCTGGCCTAGTCATAGCCTGGCACACTGGACAGATGCAGGTGTGTGGGGAGGGTACAGGGTGGAGACCATCCAGTGTGTAGGAGAGGAATCCAGGGAGAGGGAGAAGGTGGGTGGCCAGGAGAAGCACCCGCCAGTCCGGATGTGAAGCAGGAAGTGAAGCTTCCTTTTCTCATTGTCACCTGGACCTCTTCCCTGTACTTTTAGATTTTCACAGCCATACCTTGTAGCCAACTGGACATCCCTCCCTACAGTTTGAAGGAGTTTTCAGGACACCCAGAGGAGTCCTCAAACACAAGGTCCCAATTCAGCCATCCTTTCTCACTCTCTTCCCACCTTCCTAGGATGGTGCAAAGGGATAGAAACAAATCTGAGTAACTCTCTTAAGTAATAAAAATCATGTCATTTCTCTGACTTTATCTGTTTTCTGTTACTATAACAGAATACTTGAGACTGGGTAGTTTATAAAGAACAAAGGCCTATTTGGGCTCATGGTCCTGGAAGCCTAAGGTTAAGAAGCTGCATCTGGTGAGGGCCTTTTTGCTGGTGGGGACTCTGCAGAGTCCTGAATTGATGCAAGGACATCACATGGTAAGAGGAGTATACCACAGAGACAAAGTTAAACTGGCTTTTATTACAGACCCACTCTCCAGATAACCCACTAATTCATTAATCATGAATGGATTAACCCATTCACAAGGGTACAATCCTTGTGACCTAATCACCTGTTAAAGGTTCCATCTAGTCCCACCTCTTAATAACTTAGAAGGGGATTAAATTTCAATGTCAGTTTTCACGGAGACATTCAAATCATAGCACTACCCTAAAGAAATCTTTTTCCTTTATATTCTTAATGCATTTTGAGTCTATACTATTTTGTCCCAAATGATTTTCTCTCTTGCATCATTTACCATTGTTTCCTTGCTAACTTTACCTCTTAAGCACAATTCCTAGAGGACAGAGAATGGCACGATTTCATACTATTTCTCCCCATCACCTACTGTATCCTAGTAGTTTCCAATACATTAATCAGCTTTCCATTTCTGTGAAAAAAATTCCTGAGACAACTTAAAAAGAGGAAAGATCTATTTTGGCTCATGGTTTCAAAGTTTCAGTATATGATTGGCTGGTTCCATTGCTTTTAGGACTGTAGCAAAGCAGAACATCATCAGAGAGAGCACATAATGGAGCAAACAGCAGCCAGAAAGAAAGAGAAAGGGGCCAAAGACAAAACATATCTATCAAGGGCACACTCCAACTCTTTCCTCCAACTAGACCCCACCTCCAAAAGTTTCTACTACCTCTGAACACTGTTACATTGGGGATCAAGCCTTTGACACTTGAGCTTTGGGAAGAAATTTCAGATCCAAATCATACCATTAGGTGAATGAACTGATTAATATGAGCTAGGTATTGCAGTATATATCGTGGCAGGATGTTCAATATTTGTCAATAAGAACAGTCATGGGAGGGTTAGGTATGTAGCTCAATGACAGAGCACTTACCTAGCATGCATGAAGCCCTGGTTCAGTTTCCAGTGATCCTCCTGAGACTCAGCCTTCCCGGTTGCTGAGTCTATACAGGCATGTGCCACCATGCCCTGCTCTCTTTCCTTTGAAGAGCATTTCACCCAGAAAAGAGAGGATAAAACACAGAGCTCCCCAAAAGTCCACTTTGCTCAAGTCTGGATTAGAATGTAATGTCTCCTCCAATTCTAAAAACTCTCTGTGAAGTGTATCCCTACCTGAGTCGTCTTAGCTCTTAAGATTTAATGACTGGTGTCATTAAATAGTGTCATCCCTGCTCCACAGTAGAAGGACTTCAGACTTCAAAGGTCGGCAGGGTCTAAGGAGCGGAGGACGAGCGCGCAGCACTGTGGACAACTCAGAGATCTCCATAGAGGTGTACAGGAGGTGTCATCCGAGTTTCAACAACAGCGTGAGCTCCATACCCTCCAAGCTTTTCTTCCCATTCTCAACTTCCAAATTTGTTTCAAAATTCCAAATTCTCTTCTGTATCCTGCAAAATAATTCAGTTACTCTTCAGTATTTCTCTCCGTTACTCCGAATTCGCTCAGAGACCCGCATTTGCTGATCTAAATCCCCTCTCTTGGTAACCAATTGCGACACTTTCTTACCGCAGAGAATTGCAATTCTCCCCACTCCATTTACAGATTTTTATAAATTCCTTTATTGGTAAATAAATTACATTTTTAAAATAAAATTGGATATGGGTTTTCACTGAAGCTCGGACAGTGAGTGTGGGCGCCCAGAGCTTGTCAGAGGCAATCGCGCTTGAAGGAGCACAGGCTCTCCCCAGGCACCCGGGCTACGCACTCCAGCTGCTCTAGCGGCTCCACCCGCAGAGCACCAAGGTCGCTGGACCCATGCCGGGAGACCCTGTAACCCCCCAACCCGAGAATATGGGAGGACCACACCCCAGACCTTTTGGATCCCTCCTACTTCCCCCGGCTGCGCGCCCTCTGGTTTCCCGCCCTGGGAACGTCCCCCAGCCAGGTGAGTTGCGTTTCAGTTGGTACGTGGGCGGGGCGGGCAGCCTTTAATATGACGCTCACCCAGACAGCTGCAGGTGATTTGCGGGAGGGTGCGGGCGGGATTTTCTCTGCCTGGGTTATCGGCACCACCAGCACAGCCACGGCCGTCACCGTTCCGGAACCCCGGCTTGTGCACCGCCACGCGGAGACTACCAACATTCCACAGCGGGATTGGCCCCCAGCCTCACCACCCGACCCTATCCCAGCCCAGCCGCTGGACCCGCTCTTGTGCACCTGCGCCCCACAGGCGGGGACCCGTCTCCCAGCCTGCGCACTGCGGCTTTGAACACCGCTGCCTCAACGCCAGACCGTCGGACACCGGCCCTAAGCACCACTGAGCGGTGCAAGACCCATCACACTGACCGCCGCGACCCCTGTCCCGCTGCGGGTCCCTTCCCACCCCCCGGCTTTTGCACCATTGCCCCACCACCAGACCCGACTCCCAGTCTCTGCCACCACCAGGGCCGCCTGACCCGACCCCAGGTCTTGAGCACCACTGCAACCACCGCAGCTTGCTGGCATCCAGCGCCCTCCCGTCCACTCTCCGGCACCACCGCCAGCCACAACATGCGCCAGGTGCGTGCAGGCTCAGCCCCTGGTGGGGATCAGATCCAACCTACAGGAAGAGCGCAAAGGGCAAGAAAAAGAAATACCCTGTATGCAGATCTCTCTTCTAGCCACCAAGCCCCCGTATGGCATTCCTAAACTGGTTGGGTAATGAAAAGAGTCCAGATGTGTAGGGAGGAGATCTTAGGGGTCCTAGGCTAGCTCCACAGCACCTCTTCTAGGGTTTCTTATTCAAAGATTGTACTGGGCTAGGATTAGGTGGATGCTGGTGTGATGGTATGAAAAGCCTGTCAATAAACCCATCCTGCTGGGGACTGAGGGTAGTAAGCTAAGTAGGCACCTCCTCTCCAAGAAACAGGGGGCTGCGCAGGTATAACCTGTGAGAACAAGGTCCTAGGAAGCCCTGTGATTTACTTCCCGCCCCAGAGAGGGTTCCCTAGAGGAGATGCCGGCTCTTTTGTGCCAATCCAGCCTTGCCCAGAGAGGAAGGAGAGGACTCTTGGGAGGTGGAGGAGGGCCACTCTCCACAGTCTTGTTCCTCTGTGTCCCCTCCAGTGAGGATGAAGAGGCTGGTAGGTTTCTTACTCTATGCAGGTCCTGAACCACAGGAAAGCAAACAGAACCTCTTCAGAAAACCCAGTAGGGGCCTATATTACACTTTTGCTTCTCTTTCAGAAAAAACTAGAAATTTACTCTGTGGAGCTCAATGGAACTAAAGACATTACACAGACTGACCAGGGGGATGACAAGGAGAAGTACAAAGGCCTGAAGAACGACCACTTGGAACTCAAAAAGAGTCATCAAAAAGAGGGGCTTAAAAAAGAACTTGATCTGGTCAGTAGCAGTAACCTTGAGGCAAAGAGGTCCTGCTGTCCCTCCTCCTGAGAGTTTTCTATAACCTTTCTCTTGAGAGAGAAAAATCTGTCTCAAGGATTTGGAATCCTCTTAAGACTTGTTATCTTTTTTTTTAATGGTATGATAATATCTGTCCTGGTCAGTCCCTCTGCAGGATTCCTGTGTTCTGGTTGGAGGCAGTCTGGTAAACAGCAGGGGGAAATTTTCAGATTCCAAGCCCCACAGGCATAGCCCAGACCTTTCTCTTTTTCAGTTGTTTTAATGAGATATAAATAGCCACTTGTCAGTTTTCAGTTGATAAAGAAAACCATTTGAGTTGAAACCCCCAAGAGGAAAACCAAAGCCACTGGGCCTTGCTAGGTTTGGGGTATGTGTGCCCATGAGAAAGAATAGTTCCAGTAGGAATGTTGGATTTAGATTCCCTGAATCCAAGCTCAATCTAAGTCTCAATTCTCTACCACCTTAACTGTAACTGGAAGAAAATAAGCTAGCTTTGCTGAAGTTTCATTTTCTTTACATAAAGGGGGAAACAGTTTGCAAAGTCTATACATGGATATGAGAATTTTGTAATTAAAGTGCTTTATAGGAGTGTAATATTATTATAGAAGAACTTTGGAGTTATTGAAGCTGGCAGCTTTAATTAAGAGCTGCCTTGGAGCTTAAATGTGACCGATTTTATCTCACAAATGCCAAAGGCAAAACTTCCACAGGGAGCTTGAGATTTTGTTAGATTGCTTGTACAGTCCATTGCAGACTTTAAAGCTCTATGATCTTTGAGCAACTACGGGACTGATGCAGCTAGCTCATTCAAGGCTAGGTAGCTGGTTATTTAACATTCAGGAACTTGTCAGGTAACAAGTTGACTGAGGTCACAGTAGCAGCTTGAAATCTGGCTCTGAAGAGGAATCGGCCAATTCCACAAATCAGAGCTATTTGTTTATCTTTCCTGAAGAGCTTGTTAAGCATTTAGTATCACACTTCTAGACATTGGTTCATATATATTCTGACAGACGTTTAAGAACACAGCCCTGAAGTTGAGTGCAGTGGCACATGTCTGTAATCCCAGATACTTGGGAGGCTGAAGCAGGAGGTTTACCAGTTAGGGCAACTTGACAAGACCCTGTCTCAAATAAATTTAAAAGGGCTAGAGATGTAGCTCAATCATAGAGTGATTGCCCTGGGTTCAATCCCTAGTAACACAAAAAAAAAAAAAAAAAAGAAAAAGAAAATAAAGGAAGAAAAGCAAAAACAGCTCTGAGATTGGTCTGACCTGAATTCAATAAAATCCCAGTTTCCAAATTTTGCAAAGAAAGAATTTTAAAATGACTGGTGCCTACCTTTTAGAGATGTTCAGATGGTTAAATGAGATAAAGCAAGAAAAATAACAATATCAAAGAATAGTAATTATTTCCTGTGTATCTCTAGCATATATATACCA